AAAAAAAAAAAAAAAAGCAGTGACCAGACATCCCAGACCAAGGACGCTATGTAGGCAAAAACAGGTCCTGACAGCAACCACCCCTGCAGCAGACCCCTGGCAATTGTGACAGGTATCGCACAGCGACCTATATATGGTATCTGTGCAGCCTTAAATTACGCTTTTGGCCTCTACTATTGCAGCTACGTTTCAATGACCCCACAAAGCCATGCTATAGCTCTCTCCTTATCGATACATATTGGGGTATCACAAGATGCTAGGAGGGCAACGTCCCTGGCAGCTGGCATGGCATATATTCAGGAGTTAAACATGTCACCAAGGATATCTATACTATACTATAAAAGATAAGAAAAGCTCAGGTTCCCGGACTATAAGAATCAACTTCACCATCCCGTAGCTCGAGTACTGCAGGATAGGACAAGCATTAATACCAAAATGAAGCTTTCCCTCGCTGTCTCTCTTACAGCCCTTGTGGCCGCCGTCGTGGCCCAGCAAGTCCCGCCGTGCGTCGTACGTTGCTTGTCTCGTGCCGACTGGTCATATTCTTGTATACTGACGAAAAGGTTCAGGACGTGTGCTTTAACAAACAACAAGAATGCCCCGATGAATGGAACTTTGTATGTCTGTGTGAGAATGAGAAATTCCATATCGCAATGACACAGTGTATGCGTGGGGGTAATGGAGAGAGTGGAAAATGCTCTGAGGAGGATCAATCCAGTAGGTGTTCACATATCTTTCGCATAAAAGCGCTTCGAATGCTTGACTTTGGGCTAATTGTTTCGGTAGTTGCGCGGATACTCCTGGATGCTGCCTGTGGATTTTAGTCTGGGTGGTTTAATGGATCTGAAAATTGATGTGTGGTTGGAGATAGATGTATGCTATCACGATGTTAAAGAAGGCTAAGATGACGGACTATCTTAATATAGCCTTGCATGTTGAATCGTCTGCGTTCTATACATTCTAATCTATATGGAAGTCATGTATACAGAACTTAACAACATTGTCAAAAAAAGTCCGAGACGATGAGACCAGAAAACATTACATCAAGACAATTAACTTATCACCGCTCCCACTCATCATGTAGCTTCGCATCCATATTGATATAACCCTCCACCACCTCCAACCCGCGTCGTCTCTCCTCTTCAATCATCTCCCAAGTCCACTCACTCACATTCCACGACTCTGCATTTGCCTTCTTCTTCTCCTCCTCCTCCAACTTCGTCTCAGGAATATCACCCTCACTAACCTTTAGAACCTCCCTTACCAACGTCCCATCAACCCCAGCCGTAGCCGTAATGCCTTCCCCAACGGGCGTCCCAACCCCCGACCCCTCGACCGAACTATCTGGAACTACTAAGACATCCCCCTCCGGACGCTCCGGCAAAAACCCACTAGCCCTGAGGACCCTCTCCGGGGGAACCGTAAGCCGTCCCTTCTTAACCACATACTTGCTAACCGCCGTAGCAAAAAGCAATCTCTTCCCCCCGGCCTTCGCAGGCCGAAGAAAGAAACTCAAAACATACATCCACTTCTGATCCCACGCGATCACCTTGGTCTCAATCTCATAAAGCTCAAAGGGCTTAATCTCCCTCTTAAAAGAACAAAACACCGACCCAAGCGCAACGTACATATTCTTGTGCGCAGGCGGGTTCTTCCCCTCCCGCCGCGCAGCATCGCCGAGCTCGACATCGAGCTCCTTGCTCACGACTCTGAGCCCCGGCGTGTAGAGTCGCGTGACGAGCGCCGTCCGCGAGATGTCCAGGTCGGAGAAATATGTGCTGTTGGACTTGTGGAAGTTGTAGTCTGTTTCTAGAATAGGTGTGCGTGATGTAATGGCGTATGGCACGAACACTGGGTGCGTTGGCTTCCCCGTGTGTGTTACTAGTGCTTTGCCCCGTGGGAAATGGGGATCTCCGGGCTTGCGCCGGATGTTCCACCAGAGGTGGTGGAGAATGCGGAACTGTAGCGGGGGGGTTAGTTTAGGGTTTATTTTTTGTGGTTTGAGGTGGGTTTATGAGGGGGGTTTTTTTATTAGGGGTGGGGTGGGGTGTACTTATGTTCAATGGTTTGGAATGCATATACTTACGTGCCAGACAAGTGGGAGGTTTTTCAGATTGATCACTGCCAGAACTAGTGCTAGGGTTTTCCAGGTCATAATTGATGAGACTCCTGGAAGGAGGTCGTGGATTGTATCCGCGCGGAGGGACAGGCCCATGTTGGGGTAGAGCTTATTGTTGTGCTTATTCTTTTGTCTTTGATTTCTTTGTATATGTTGATCCCGCGGACCCGAGTGGATGTATAGAAAAAAAAGGAGTGCAGGGATGTGGAGGAGATCTCGATAAGGCTGAAGATTCGCCCCCGTTGGCAGTTGTACAAATGTCACCGCGACAAAATCAAGACCAAATCGTGTAACTAGTCACCACACGGATTTTTTAAAGGACTTAAATCTCCAAGATTACACATTTCAGCTCCGGCAGCAATCCGAGTCAGCCTGTTGAAACGTTGGGAAAATGAAAACCGAGGCATATATCACGTGCACGGTCCGAAGTATGGCTTATCTAATGTCGCAAGAATGGGCATCATTGACAGTCATAAGCAGTCATAAGTTGAGATGAAAACGGCCGACAACTTAAAATATGGCCATACAATTAGGTGGGCTCGAAACGCCATTGGCACAATTCAGTGGACTACTGGAAATAAAGAACGTCCAGCGCCCCAGTTGCTTGCAAGTCTCCGCCAACTCCTCCAGGTCGAACATCTCGCCGATCGGTAATCCCCAACCGGCAAGCATATGATGATGCAGATCAAACTCGGGGTTGAGGGGCGGGAAGACCTCGAAACTAACCGCATCGGATGCCACCGCTGCAAAGTGGTTATCCCACATAAACCGAAGTACATTCTCACTCTGCTCAAGCCCCGCATGCTTGGGCACCGTTTGCTGGCTGTATTCCTGCTTCTGGGCGTCGCTCATGGAGTACCAGGTCTTTGTGAGGCCCACGCGGAGAAAGAAGATGTCTCCTCGTTGGAACTCGATGTTACATTCGCGTGCGATGGCTAACACGTCGTCCAGAGGTACCACATGCTGGCTGAGTCCATTTACGGTAATGCCCTTCTTCTCGGCCCAGGATAAGTAGTCAATCAAGACGCCCCGACCAGCGATTCCCTTCTTAGCCCAGTACCCAATACCAATACGCGATGAGTTCGAGTCCTGAATTTCTTCTGCTGTAGTACCACCGTAGAATACGCGGCGAGCTTGATCCTCGGGCGTCGGGGCAGGTGCACTATGGTGTCGGAGTCCATCCCACTGGGACGATTGTTGTGGGTTGAAATGATACTCATCGTCGAACGCGATACCGGGAGCCACCCATTTGATGCGATGTTCGAAGGGCTTTCGGCGGAATCCTGCAAGCTAGTTAATGGACCGTCCCCGCCAAACTATGGAACCTTATCAATCGCAGCCACAGCAAAAGACTCTCCATGGCAGATGCCAGTAGTCCTCCTACCTGGTGTATCCAACTGTTCCAAGTCCCAGTTTAAACAAACTCTCAGCCCGGTTTGAATCTGTGTGCGCGCGGCGTCCGCTACAATCTCCGGAGTCAGGATGCGAAGCATGCCTAGTCCCTCTTCCGGAGATCCAGCGGCTGCCGGCCAGTATTGTCTCTTGTTGGGGAGATCTTCATATTTCTCAGGCAAATCATCGATTCCGGTTGTCATGGTGCTGGTGAAGAGGATGGTTGGCTGAAATGGATCGATCTAAAGGTCAACAGCTCTGCGGAAGCATGAAAGTACCCCTCTTAGATTTATAGCATTGCAGAAGTGGGGAAATTAAACTGATCGGACCATGTCCGAGAGCGATTAGTTAGACAAGTAAAGACTTTCGGATACAGTATGCATGCAATCTTGCTCATGGAAGAGAGGATCTCTGTTAAAAAAAAAAAAAAAAAACACCCCCATCTCAGTTATTTGCAGGCTCCTGATTTTAAGAGTTGACTGTGTAATTTCTACAGTATGGTGTATTCAAACAATGAAAGATACAGAAAACAGGAAAGGAAATAAGAATACAGCTTTACCCAGCTTACAAGTCATCCACATCTTGATCGGCAGCTGCAGCTTTACCCTGCTTATCGAGACGAGACATTTCGTGCTCCTCACCCCCACGTCCAGAGCCTCCCGGAGTTGACATTGCGATGGCTTGTCGCCCTGTGTCGGACGACTCGAGGAATTCACGTAGCCGCTTCTTACCCTCTGCTACGGCTTGGTTCGAGGCAGCCTCTGTCATTTTTATGATGGGGCCCCATAGGTTAAGCTGGTAGGTGATGTAAGCACCAACAGCACAGACAAACAGGAGGAAGAAATAGGCCGGGTTGCGGAGCACTGTTAATCCAGTTAGTCTTCAACGGATCATATAAGTAAAACAACTAAAGTAATACTCACCAGCAACGATTTCATTCCATCCAAGTGCGATAAGGAGGCCGTAGAAGTACAAGGGCACTTGGGTCATGCCTCCAATGGCGCTCCGTTTAGCCTCAACATACACTCCATCCGCGGCCTTCTTGAAGCGAACGGTGAGCTCCTGTCGCTTGGCATCACTGACAATAGTCATTTCTTCTTCCAAACTCTTGCCTTCTTCTTCGTCCACCCCGCCAATGGGAGCCAGGTCTTCCTCGTCAGCGGGGGTCGCGGAGCTAGGCGTGTGTCCGATCCAACAGTCCAGAGGGGGCGGGGCAGACGTCTCATCTAGCCGAAACTTGGAAAGAAGAGGGATGAGAGTCAAGGTTGATTCGCGAGCACGAGTGTATATCCCTTCGATATCATCGGTCGGGCGCCAGATCCGAGGAACACCAGCATCATCGTAGCGGAACTTATCCTCAAAGTTTTCGCGCAACTTCAACAGCAGGTTGCCTTCGATCATCTCTTCATCAATCTTAGCGCGCAGAACGCCCCAGGACTTCCTCCGCAGTCTCCAGAGTCCGACGTCCACTTCCTCCAAGCTGGCGTCGAAACTGCTAGCGCGGTCTGTGAATCGCCTCTCGGCATCCAGGACTGTCTCGACAAACACATTCCACACACGATCCCAGAATTTCTTTTCCGTTGGTTGATCTCCCTTCTCCGGTGCGCCACCACCAGCTCGTCCTGAGCCAAGAGCGTTGAACTCAAGTCCAACAGATTCCCCCAGTCGAGACTGAACCCATCGTTCTACCCGGCTGGCAAGACGTCTCATCTCGTCCCTTCTTAGGCGCGCACTGACTTCCGCAAGCTCCTTTTCATACAAGGCGAGCTCTTGCTTATAGTCACTCCAGGAAGTACCCTCCACCACGGTGGCACGGGCAACTTCCTCAAACTTGTCCACGGCCTTCTTAGCCTCTTCATTGACAATCTCTGCGAAATCGTAGCCGGTGCCCTTCTTCTGGCCGGACTTCACAGCGGCCGACACCGCTTCGCTGAAATCACTGATCCCCGATTTGTGCGCTGCATTGAGCTGGCCCTGGAAAAGGGCCTTCAAACGGGTATCAGCTTTGCTTTCAAGCTCTGCCCTTTTGCGCTGGTAGACGCCTTTGTGGTACCGACTAGCCTCAGTCTCAAAAGCCTTGACAGCCTTGGTGCGCGACGATCGCATCGCCGCTCCTAAACCTCCAAGAATTTCCGGTTCTCCAAGGCGAGCGGCTTGCGACTGTTTATCTTCGAAGGGGACGATAGCCTCATCGAAGGCAACCATCACTTCCCTCAAAATCTCGTCACACCTAAACTGTGCAAGCAACTCTTGTTGTGTAGGCAGATCTAGATCCTTGTTGTTGACGATTTGGTCCCAGATGCCTTCGGCGTATCTCGAAAAGCCATCCGCAGGGATACGTCGGTGATACTCCGGAAGGAAAACACCGCCATCTGAGAATTCGCCTTTCCGCGCATCTAGGCTAGGGTCCCTCTGGCCGTCGCGGAAACGAAGACTGAGCTTCTGTGTCTCTTCCACAAACTTCTCCGGCTGGTAGCCCTTGTGCGGCAGACCGTAGAACTGGAAGTCAAAGTAATCGTGTACGTTCGAGCTCTCCAGGCCAGCAGGCTTAGATATGGAATCCCAGAGACGAGCCATATCTTCCATTAAGGTCTTCTGCAAATTCTGGAGCGGTGTCATTCCCGAATAGTCACGAATGACGAAGAACAAAAGCGATCGGTGAGTGGTACTGGCGATTAAGGTTAGCATAAGAAGAATCCGGAGGCTGCGCTGGGGGGTCTGTACTTTTTATCCTTAAGGAACAACTGTAAGTTGACTTCGAAGACAGTCTTTAGGAGCCCCATATTCGCGCCCTGGTACAATCCGACCTGGTGTTCCCAGATATTCACAATAAGAACCTCACTGGTCGCCAGTGCGAAAAGGGCACTCTTGCGTTCAAAGTCCTGGTCTTCACCTCGCTCACGGCCGTCTGTACCTTCCACATCCATAACTAAGATGTTGCTAGCCATAGAGGAGCTCTCATTTTTATTTTTTGACAGCCAAATTCCCTTTGTCGTCTGCCGTCTCTCCAACTCTGACATGACGGAGAAATGCGTGCCGAAAAGGTGATTGAGGAGCGTAGATTTACCCGTCGACTGCGATCCGAAGACGGAAATAAGGTGGTAATTGAAGCCGGAGGGGGTAACATCTTCAAGGCTCAGGTACTGCGATAGATTCAGGCTAAGATTACCATTAGCTTTCGAAGCTATATTCGCCATTTATACACAGTCCGTGACGAGGCGCATCATGGCGCAACGTGTATGTGTATGTGCACGAGAAGTTATGATTGAGGCATAGATGAATTGCACCGAAGACAGGGGAAAGCATACTTGAATTCCTTGTTCTCATCTATTACTTGTACCCCATGCTCATATGCTGTAGTATCACTGGCAGAATTGCCAATGGAGGCGAAATGACCGTTCGTGGCCATGGTCAAATGCACCGTCTAGTGTAGGTAAATTCCACCGACTGTGGTTGCGAGAATTGGGTTGCTCTAAAGTAATAAACGCTGTGTTTGTTTTGCGGGTGATGTCGCACTTGGGGGGGCAAGTGGGAAGGACAACGTCAGGGTGTGGAGAGGGTGGCGAGTGTTGGGGGAGATGCCGTATGAGACGGGTGCAAAGCGTCAACTAAGTACATGTAGTATGAGATAAAAAGTAGATCACTCAGAAGTAAGGAGAATCACAAGACTTAAGTTGGTCCTGTGAGACAACGCCCGAGGGTCGGCTGGGTCTTGTGGATAGGGAGGTTGTCGGTTGGTCGTCCGGAGTACCCTTGACGCCTGAGCGGCCAGGCCACACCACCGAATCCACCGCGTGCCTAGGCGCTGCTGCTTCTGGTTTAGTGACGATCGATCCATCTATCATGTGGAACACACGACAGTCCCCTCTGCATACGGAGTACCCAAAACAACGGCCCACTCCTATTTACGGAGTACACATCGATTAAGGAGAGCTGGGAAAAAAAAAAAAAAAAAAAGTTAAAATTAAAATAAAATAAACCAAAAAAAGGGTACAATGCACTTTCTAGCCACCTCAACACACCCTTGCTATATGTTAATCTTAGAACATATTCCCGACCTCAGTCTACATTAAGACCGCTACTATTGAGGTCGGGCCACATATGCCACCAGAGTTTGCCCAACAACCCCTGGAACGTATAGATGGCTTTCAAACTCAAGAGTTGCAACAAGTGGCATATGCTACGTTTGGCTGCATGATACGTCAGGATAGTGGGTTGCTAATATTCTTCCAATTGGGTTATTGTCCGTCCGCCATAGGGACTATTTGTCTCGTACAACTCCCTGTGAGCTAGGTAATAGGGCGCTATACAGCTGTCCTCATGTCTCAAAGCAAGAGTTAGTAGACAATCAGATTCGCCTGTAAAGCGCCGGCACAAGGTCTACGCAAGCTACTCTAGAGTAGGGCACAAGTGGCCGCAGGATTGGGTTTGGAGAGATAGTAATACACCCCCGACTATATATGGCCACTAGCCTGACCAGAGTTATAATAGCTAAGGTGTTCTACAATTTACCCGTGTGAAGTCGGTACGTGGACTGAGTTTTGTACATTATATTAATCATCGGATCCATATTCAACGACATACCTAGATATAGATGAGGGGAGAATTGTAGAGAATAAGAGAAAAATAAAAAGTCTACATGGTTAAATACAATACAGGTACATGGCATGACTCACGAACTCCGGTATCAACGTTTCCCGGATCCCTTCGCTGATTCCCGCGCTGCAAGAAAAACAAATCCGGACATAAATTTTTCATAGTACAAAGGCCGCCAATTCATCAGTCACCGTAAACGAGCTGGCATTTATTTTCCGTCCATGACACGGGTGACGAGACCAGTGGCAACAGTACGGCCACCCTCACGGATGTTGAAGCGCTGACCAGCCTCAGCAGCAATGGGGTGGTGAGTCTTGAGGACCATCTCGACGTTGTCACCGGGATTCACTCTGCGAGACTCATCACCGTCGGGGAAGCTGAGGTCAGCAGCCTCATCTAGAATACACAGTTAGAACCTATTCAACACCGTCAAGTGAGCAAAAGGCTTGACTTACCAGCAGTGCGAACGAACACCTGGGGGCGGTAGTTGGAGCCGAAGCCAGTGCGACGGCCACCCTCAGCCTCAGTCAAAACGTACATGGACACCAAGAACTTGTCATGGGCCTTGGTGCTGCCAGGAGCAGCAATGATCATACCACGCCTGACGTCCTCGCGACGGATACCACGGAGAAGCAAACCAGAGTTGTCACCAGCGCGGGACTCGTCACAAGACTTCTTGAAGGTCTCAATGTCGGTGACCTTGGTCTTGGTGGCATCAAAGCTACCTCCGATGATCTCGACTTCGCTATCCTTCTTCAGGATACCACGCTCGACACGGCCGGAGGCAACAGTACCACGACCGGCAATAGAGAAGACTTCCTCAACAGACATGAGGAAAGGCTTGTCAAGATCACGCTGAGGGGTAGGGATCCAGGTGTCGACAGCCTCCATGAGCTGGTCAATACGCTCGGTACCAATATCGGGGCGACGGTCCTCCAAAGCGCACAGAGCAGAGCCGAAAATGATGGGAGTCTCTTCACCCTCGAAGCCGTAGCTGCTGAGAAGCTCGCGCATTTCCAACTCCACAAGCTCCAACATCTCAGGGTCCTCAACAGCATCAATCTTGTTGACGAAAACGACAATCTTCTGGACACCAACCTGACGGGCGAGCAGCAAGTGCTCACGGGTCTGGGGCCTGTTATAGTACGCGTAAGCGCGAAATCCTGGACTATTCAGTGGCAAAGGGCTTAACATACATCTGACCATCCGAAGCAGCAACGACAACAATAGCACCGTCCATGTTAGCAGCACCAGTGATCATATTCTTGATGTAATCGGCGTGACCAGGGCAGTCGACGTGGGCATAGTGCCTGTTGTCGGTGGAGAACTCAATGTGGGCAGTCGAGATGGTGATACCACGCTTACGCTCCTCGGGGGCCTTATCAATGGCACCATACTCAAGGAACTGAGCGAGGCCCTTAGAAGCCTGGTGCTTGGTGATAGCGGCAGTCAAGGTGGTCTAAACAGCAACGTGTTAGAGTCCGGGCTACTTCGGGGAAAAAGTCAATAAATCCAGTCTCGCGCTTACCTTGCCGTGATCTACGTGACCAATGGTACCTGTACGTTACCGTTAGCAATAGCACTGATGAGAGCACAGCATTTTGTAATAGGACAATCCATACCGATGTTGACGTGAGGCTTGGAGCGCTCGAAGGCAGTTGCCATACCACGGGCAGCCAGTCTGTCTTTACCCAAAACATGCTGAACAGGGTTGACAGCGCGAGGGCGCAGCAGGGAGGCCCTGCTGGCGCGGAAGAGGAGGTTGGCGGTTCTGGAGATGCTAGACATGTTGACTGCCCTGCAGTGTAATGACAAACGAAGTTGAACCAAAGGAAACGCGATGGAATGGAAGAAACGGAGCTGGTCTGAGGGTCGAGAAGATCTCCAGTCTCCCGAAAAATTTAGGGAGTCGCTTAGTCATCCATTGACCAATCATGAACGCCGAATTGCGGAGGCTGTCCCCATCCAAATACGGAGTATCATGGAACGTCAACTTGGGTGGGAAGCTATCGGTACCTGTCCGGAGTAAGCGTCGCCAAGAGTCCTACTACCTTATATTTGTGGTTGTCCAGCAGAACAACTATACTTGTGCTGCTTACTGGTTCTGGGTATATTATACTCTCGAGTATCTGTTCTAGAACCATGACTGGTAACAGATACTGGGTCTAGTTTATTCGCCCACAGAATTGATGTTGAGGTCAATGTAATACAGCATCGTGGCACCGGGAACTGCTCCGGAGAGAACATCCATTAGATCTACAGAGTGCTCTGCCACGTTGTATACATAATATATACCAAACAAAGGTCACATAAGGACATCATTGACCCAAATCCTTTCTCTTCACAACAAGTACCACATGTTTGCCAGGTTCTCCCTCCATCGGTTTCACTTGCATGGCATTGGCATCCTTAGTAGCCTGCAACACACTATCCATCACATGCTTGACTTCCTCCACAGTGGGTGACCTCTTGCCTCTCTTTTTAGTCAATATAACCTCAACCTTCCTGCCCTTGTCGAGGAAGCTTGTCAATTGCTTCAGGCGGTGGGAGAGATCATGGGCGTCGATAGCCCAGTTCAGCTCGATCTGCTTAATCGAATTCTTGTTGACGTGCGCAGCCTTTGCTTTCGCACGTTCTTGTTCCCGCATTTCAAGTCGATTCACGACCTTGCAAACGGGTGCCCGGCCGCGAAAGCCAGGGGAGACTTGTAATATGAAGTTGTCCGGGCGCTCTATCTTCAGCAAAGCATCATGAAGCCTTACTGGTGAATCCAGTTTACCATCTTCATTCACTAGTTGGATATATTCCGATCGGATTTCTTCATCTTTCACCTGCCTTGCCCTTGCCTGGAGCTGAGCATCTTGCTGTTGAGGCTTGCGGCGGATGGAAAGAAGGCGGGATTGCGTGAAGGTTGGAAGGAAAGCGGGACGGAGAAATTGGGGTCTAGGGGTTTCAATAGGTGCGAGAAAGATACGGCGCAATGCTTGGGTTGTTGAGATGAACCCACGTATATGCTTCATCTTGTGTTGCAGTCCAGCGTGGAGGACTAGAAGGAAGCTCACAATTGAGGGTTCGGAAGCTGTGAGTATTCAAAAATAAATAAATAAAAATGAAATCGCTTTCGAATCGACTGATCACAGCGCCAGATAGGCCTAATTGGTCGTGAAAAGATTGAGCGGGGTGCTCTCAAAAGAGATATAGTTTGGAATGTATGATGAAGCCCAGGTATGTACACAGTAGTAGTACGTCCCGTCATCCAACCGACGCATTCGGCGGCGAACCAGCCACACGTGCGCCACACACTCACGGGGACGGGATCGAGACCCTGGAACCGGCCGCCTGTAATTTATCTCCTTTTGGTTGCACCCTTTTCCTCTCCTGACATCTATCAACCCTCTTTTCGCCTGTTTTGCTTTACCATCCACGATCCTTTTTGGGCTGGTCCGGAGGCTCCTGGAGGATCTATGGTTTCTCTTCATTTCGACCGTTAACCTATCTTTCTTTTCCAACTCGGTCGAAACTATAACAGCGTTTCCCCGGAACGAAACGCCACTCGCTCGTCCTCGGTCTTAATTTTTGTATGTCGACTGGAGTTGACGGTCGACATATCCACCGCACGCCATCTTTCCAAAAGCCAGGCTCTAGAGTCAGTAAACGCTCGAATTCGCGGGCGTCCCAACCCGCGAACACACCAAGCAACTCACCGGACACTTGTCAAAGTCCGTCAACCGACATAATGGCACAAAGCCAGAGGTCCCGGTACCTGAAGACCGGCGCCATCGTGGGCGCTTTGTTTTTGATGATCCTTTGGCTCTCACCATCGAAGCCAGCAGTAACAGGCTTTGGCCGCGGTATGTTGCATACAAATGTTCATCGACTATTTGTGTCCACTAATAGGCCATACAGAGAAATCCCCCACTGGTGCCACTCCTCTAACGGATAAATGCACCAAGCCATACGATCCCTCGAAGCCGTTGATTCAGTATGCACTAATGATCGATGCCGGTAGTCAAGGTTCTCGAATCCACGTCTACCGCTTCAACAACTGCGGCCCTACTCCCGAACTTGAACATGAAGAATTTGAGCAGACCGAGAAGAAGAAGGGTGGCTCCGGATTGAGCTCCTATAAGGAAGATGCCGAAGGAGCAGCCAAGAGTCTTGACCCTCTCATGCAGGTTGCAATGAGGACTGTTCCCGAAGAGTATAAATCTTGCTCTCCCGTCGCTGTGAAGGCCACCGCCGGTTTGCGAATGCTTGGGCCAGAGATGAGCCAGAACATCCTGGAAGCCGTAAGGACTCGCCTGGAGACTGTCTATCCCTTCCCCGTCGTCTCCCGTGAGAAGGGAGGCGTCGAGATCATGGATGGATCCGACGAGGGAGTTTACGCATGGATCACAACAAACTATCTTCTCGGAAAGATTGGCGGTCCAGACGAAACGCCGACAGCTGCAATCTTTGACCTAGGCGGTGGTTCTACTCAGATTGTCTTCCAGCCCACATTCGAAAAGAGCAAGTCGGGTGGTATGCCGGAACGCTTAGCTGATGGCGATCACAAGTATGAGCTCCAGTTTGGTGGACGGGGCTTCGAGCTGTACCAGCACTCTCACCTTGGATACGGTCTCATGGCTGCACGTGAAGCCATTCACAAAGCTGTCGTCGAGGGTAAAATGGCCTCTAGTGGAAACGATATGGCTTGGTTGAATCAGCCCATCTCTAATCCCTGTATTGCACCTGGTATGGAGCGCGATGTGGAGGTGAAATTTGACAAGGAGCACCCACTTGGATCAAAAGTGACTGTCAAGATGGTCGGCCCGCAGGATGGGTCTTCTTCGCCTGCCCTGTGCCGCGGCTTCGCGGAGAAGATTCTCAAGAAGGACGCCGATTGCAAACTTGCTCCTTGCTCCTTCAATGGTGTTCATCAGCCCTCGCTTGAGAAGACATTTTCCAGGGAAGATGTTTATATCTTCTCCTACTTTTTTGACCGCACCAAGCCCCTGGGCATGCCTGACTCTTTCACTTTGGAGGAGTTGCACCAGCTCACATCCACTGTCTGCGCCGGCGAATCGTCATGGAAGATTTTCGAAGGCATGGGAGAAGCCATGGCCGAGCTACGCGACCGCCCTGAGTGGTGCTTGGATTTGAACTTCATGCTTGCACTGCTACACTCTGGCTACGAGATGCCGTTGTCCCGAGAAGTTAAGATTGCCAAGAAGATTAAGAACAACGAACTTGGATGGTGTCTAGGCGCAAGGTAAATAACCCGTTAAAATCTTTTCTTCACTTTATTACGTTTGAACTTGTACTAATGTTTTATCACAGCTTGCCTCTTCTGAGTCAGGAATCGGGATGGACTTGCCGCGTGAAGGAAGTCTTCTAAGTATGATGGATATGGCGGTATGATGATGCATTGATTTTTACCGCATCAGATGGCATGTGTACATCTGTTTTCTTCTCATGCAAATATGACTAGAATTTTGTCATGTCGATTATATTGTTACTGTCGCTATTAGACGTTGCCCAATTCCCTGTATGGTATAGCAAAAGAATATGGAAATGCAATTGATGTCCTGGATGCTACTAGAATACATATGCTAATATAATCTTTCGAGCAAGCCATACAATTACTCTAGTCTATTCTTCTAGTGACGACATAACAAAAAACTTTTAGATCCCACGTCGAGGACTCACCAAAGGCCAAGCAGAGAATATATCATACAATAAGTTGAACACGCACAAAAAGCCCATCCAATATGTAGGTGAAAACATATCACATCCGTAAGCGCCGTCCATGCAACCCAATCCCACGTTTACTGTTTTTTATTCGTTCATTTCCTCAATGGTTGGCTTTTTCGACGATGTAGCATCTTGGTTTCCCATCAACGTCTCCAATACGTTCGACTCGGATGGCGCATTCGGGTGTGATTTTGCGTGGCTGTCTGCAGGGCCTTCGTCCGAACCTTCGCTCTTTGCACTAGGGACGACGCCGTCGGCCGGGCGTTTCTCTTCCAGGACGCCTAGGCCCAGGTTCTGTAGAAGTATCGTCGATCAGCACAAGTAAATAAGAACCAATATGAAAAGATTTGCCTACCATTTCAATATATTGGCCATCAGTTTGATCATCCACCTCGTCCAACCTCAGGTCCTTCCCCCTCCCAGCCTCTATCTCTTGCTGTAGTTTATCATTGGCGCTTTTCATTTGCGGAAGAAACGCAGACAGTCGGGAGAGGAGATCAGGGTTTTTCTCGATACGATGTATTTGAGGTTTTTGTAGAGCAGGTATGCGCGGTAAAGAATGATCAGAGCCATTGTCACTTTTTACATCACGATCTTGGTCGTCTTCCTCATCGTCAATCTCGTCGTCTTCGTCACTATCACTCCCGGAGGATGAGGTGTAATCGTCATCGTCACTGTCGCTATCATTTTTGTCCGGAGGTGCGTGTGCCTTTTGGACATTGTCGCGCAGGGCTAGCGAGAATACGCGCCGCTCGTCACTCTCGTCACCAACGTTATCATTCTGATTGGAATGGCTACTTGACCGTTTAGAGGGAGAAATGGCATCGCATGCAGGTTGCGGTTGGGGATCGTCGGACTGCGGGCGCTTCCGATCACTATCAGCCATGATTGCGCCCTGCCAATGAAGAGTAACTTTTCCCCTCCTTTGCACCTCACAGCGTTTCGCGCAGGATGTGGGGGGCGGCTCGAAGGAATCAACTAGATTTTCCAGGGGGAGGGTGGGCAATATCAATTGGTGCGAAGTGTGGATTTAGGGGGTTGTTTGAAGACGGAGGTTAGTTGATTAAGGATAATCTGGAAAATATAGTAAGAACCAAACATCGTCCATCATGCCGGATTGTCACTGACATTGAAGAAAAGCATGACAGGGATATTTTTGGACGGAGGGAGCCAATGGGGGCCATAATGTGATCTCGATTTGCGTCTTGCATTCAAGATCTTATTCTCTTTCTCTCCTTTTGTTACTTTTACTCTGTTTCACACCCCGCTCGATGGGTTTTGCCTTCGTTGCCCGGTCCGTGCCTGGTGATTTATATTATATTATTTTACCATTAGGCTTGGCTCCTGCAGATGTCTCTGGCAACCTGTCTCCTGATCCCTGAAATATCGGTCGTTTTTACAAGAATTCATCATCTAAGGTAAGAATGTACACGTACAATTTTCAATCGTGAGACTTTCGATGGTTGGATCACTATCCATGATCCTGAACTATATCCCGCATCTATTCATGTCCAGCCCTACACCTCTTACCTATTCATATTCATACATATATTTCACATGTGTACTATAGCTTACTTAAGGAATAGGCGATTGAGAGATTCATCTAACTCGAATCACTGAGAGAAAAGTGAACTCTCACAACACTGCAGGGACTGTAAGTCGCAAGAGGCATCCTTTGACTACCTGGTACTCCAAGAATCTGGCATGAGTTCTTGCACCTACCTCCTATCCTCATCTTAAGGAGGTGTAGCTCTCCCCCAAACTCACACAATTCTGCTTTTACCTACAGTCCATTATGGCCCTCCCAAGAGTCCATGTCAATGACAAAAGCCCTCTGTCCGAGAAGAATAACCCAAAAGACAATGGCATCGACAGGCGACAATCGGCACAAATCATTGCCCCAACACGAAAGTCCCTGCATCAGAACATCTTCGGGAAGCTCCGTCCTCTGCCTTTCCAGTATCACTGGACAGTCTGGTACGATAAGCACTCTGACTCCACCGACTACGATAACAGACTGTACGTCCTTCATGAAGACGTCGCCGACATTGCGACCTTCTACCGGGTTTACAACAACTACCCATGGGAGAAGATCCGGCTTAGAGATACGGTGCATATCTTCCGCAAGGGTGTGCGTCCCGTCTGGGAAGATCCAGAGAACCTGAAGGGGGGATGTTGGAGATTCCGTGTGCCGAAAGGCAAAGCCCAGGAGTTCTTCCATGAGATTGCGATTCTCTGCATGGCAAATGAGTTTCAGGCTGTCCTTGAGCAGGGTTCGTTTCTTCCCTACCTTTCCGGGTCTCCCGAGACATTAATAGCTAACTTACCTATATATAGAACATGACCATGTCCTTGGAGTTTCAACCTCAGTCCGTTTTAACACTCATCTGATCTCGGTTTGGAACAAGCTTGGCTCCAATGAATGTTCCATCAAAGCATTGGAAAGAACTATCCTCGACCGATTGTCCCCGGAACTACGACCCACTGGGACGGGGTCCAATGCGTATTTCTATAAACGTCATGATGAGAACGAAGGATATCAAGAAGCTGTTGAGCGAGCAGCCTCCAAGGATTGAGGGTTTCCTTTCTTGATTATGCTGTGTTAGACTAGAATAGTTGATATTCTTGCTCGCTCCTGTCTGGTTTCAAGGACATCTTTATTCAAGCGCTACTGGCATAGCGCTGCTTAAGATCAGTCCAAGCCCTGAACCGCTAAGCTTCATTTTCGAGCGTCTAGATTATCTTGGTTTTGCCCATAACAGGTTCATTAGATGATTATCATTATTGCCTTCCGTTCTTCTGTTGTGATACATGTTTCGGTTTGAATCTAAAGTAGTGTACATGGTTCGTTGATATTATTAACATGCTGCAGATCTACCGACTTCGGCTCCTTCGATTAGGACTTTTCCTTCGAGCTCCCCGATCATCAGGTTCACGACTTCGATCTGTGTCTTTCTCACGATCACGGTCTCGCTCTCCACCGGGTATATATCGATCAATCTCAACAAAGCGCGGCCGCTCGTCACGCTCCGAGCGCTCTGGAGATCGGACACGCCGACGAGGGGAACGACTTCGATTGCTAGTTGGGGGTACATAACGGTCGATATCAAGAACGCTCGGAGATCGCCGGCGTGAGCGAGACCGTCTCCGCGAGGCGGACACGCGGGAGCCAGATTTATCTCGCTCACGTTTACTGTCGCGTTCTGTATCCCGCTCTCGACCACGGTCACGGTCTTGCTCGCGCTCCCGGTGCCTCTGACGAGAGCGAGAGCGCGATCGGTATCTAGCGCGCGATCGGGACCGAGAATAGCGCCGTCGTCGATAGTCATCGCGGTCACCATCACGGTCGCGGTCTCGCTCTTTATCTCTGTCCCTCTCCCGGTCTCTCTCCCGGTCCCTGTCCTGATCTCGGTCCCTATCTCTTCTCTCCCTATCCCGGTCGCGACTGCGGTCCCGGCGATAGTCATGATCTCGCTCTCTGTCACGCTCTGTGCTTCTCTCCCGATATCGAGGTCTAGAACGAGTTCGGTCTAGATTGCGGTCCCGATCCCGATCCCGGTCCTGTCCACGGGTGGTCGATCTACTCCTACTCCGACGATTAGGCCGATAACTTCGATCACCATACCGGTCTTCCCGGAAATCACGAATAGCAAGCCTATCATCAGGAGCGCGGTCGCGCGGTCGCGCGGACATGTCTCGTGAGCTCCGGCGGTCCTCGTCAAATCGAGACGTATACCTTCTCCTTGAACGACTGCGACTGCCATCCCGTCTCCGAGTGCGATTGCGCTCATCTACAGTCGAACCGCGGCGCCGGCTCTGGTCGGTGTCCACGGCTGGGCTCCTGGACTTGGTTGGCGTATTAGCGAATTTCGATTCCGAGGTACCTTTCGGCTTGGTCGGTGGCGGTTTAAGGCCATTTTCAATTGCTTCTGCTTCTTCGAAGTCAAATTCGGGTTTTTGTCGCGCTTTAGCCGCAAGTTCTTCGCCCTCTTTCAGGAGAAGCTGCAAAGCCGCTTCCTCCAATGACTTCTCATCCACAGGAGGCGGGGGCGGAGGTGGAGGTGCCGGCGTGGGTTCCTTTGGTGTTGCAGACGTATCCCGTCGTGAATCGCGTAAACGGGGAGACAACCCACGATCAGAGCGGTGGCCTAGCGAGCGGTCACGACGATAGCGATCGCGGTCCCTATCACGGTCCCTTTCCGAGTCTCTATCTCTCGTGCGACTGCGGTCACGCCAATCACGATATTTTTCACGTTCTTCCCGTCGTCTTCGTTCATATCGCTCCTGCCGCTCCTTTTCCCTTTGCTCATCTTGTGCTCGCTGTTCTGCGCGACGCTGTTCCTCACGCTCCCTTCTTCTTGCCCTTTCTTCCTCCTCCTTTTGCCGATCTAGCTCACGTTGCTTGCGCTTCTCTTCCGCTTTTCGTCGCGCTTCCTCTTCTTCGGCTTCTTTCTGTTTGCGCAAAGTCTCTTGCCACACCTTCTCGCGCTCCTCCCGCTTAGCTTTAACATGTGCGGCGTAGTCTTCGTCTGTCTTATTCCCAGCCTGCTCTTCGCGAGCGGCAGCTTCCTCGCCGATCTCCTGGCGGCGAATCTCTCGGATTGACTCTAGGATAGCGGGAAGGTGCTTCGAAGCCAGCGCATCGAGCGACGCCTCGACGGTTTTATAAATGTCGCTACGATCCACAGCTCCTTCGATCAACGTCGCAGCTTTTCCGCGTTCACGAGAAAGTAATTCTGGTTCGCGAGTGATCTCGGATTCCGCTAATTCGACTAATAGATTGGTAAACTCTACCCTCCCTTCCTACATGTGAGCGCATTAGCAAGGGAACAATATTGTGCGACTGAGAACCAGAATGTAAAATGAATTAACTACTAAACGTACTCCTTCATCAAATTCCGTCCATAGTTTCTTTCGCGTAGTGTCGAAGCCGCCCCTTTTCTTGAATGCGTGGAGGAGGTCCTCAATAGTCCTATGCTGCGTGGGGGACAACGGTAACTCTTCGGTTTTGAACTTCTTCCGTTGCAAGCTCTCAATATCCACCGCCGGCCTTTTAACCTCAGCAGCTGGAACATCTGGCATCTCCTCTGGGCCAGCCATGCCGAGAAGCCAGAACAAAATGTAATAAAAAACTTTCAACTTACCCCACTTCAAGGGTTTACTGGCGTTCCTCCAAGGCAGGCCAAAAAGGAAGCGCAGATCTATGTCGCGCGGCCCGCATCTCAGAATCGCGAGTTGTTGGCCGGCGACCCTGTGATCGGAGGAACCATTCTTCCGTGACGAGATTGGGAACTGCGGCCCCGTGATTCGACGGGAGTGGGAGAACATGAGAATCAACCTCATCTCCGCCCGCAACAAGCTCACCAAAGCGCCGGTTCGGAGCTCAGATTACGCAGTGACCGCTTGATTCTCCATTGAAGCGGACCCGGATCCAATACCTTATTTATCAACCCTTATTCCGACGTTCTCCTTTCCCGTTCCGCGCACTCCGCACCCTCCATCATCATGGTCCACAAAGTCCTCTTCTGGGGCGGCTTCGGTATGCACTGCATATTTACCCCATGATAATTCCAATTGGGACCATGTCACCGTCCCGAATTGGGCTATCGGATCTCCCACTAACGGTACATCCAGGCATCGCCGTCCGTCTCTGGCAGCTCGGTATCGAAATGCGTCCCATTCTCGCCAAGGAATCTCTCTGGGTGTACCCTCTCTTCGCCGGTGTCGGTAGCAGCTTCGGATACTGGCTCCAGGGTGTTGAGGACAGACAGCTCAAGATCCTTGCGCAGCGCCGTGAGGCTATTATCGAAAAGCGTCGGAGACGTGACCAGGGCACATTGAGCAAGGTTGAGGAGGCCGGCACTCTTGCCGCGACGTCGTGAATGTGATATCATGAGTTCTGGAGAAGGTGGTTGAAGGACAGGTTTAGGAGACGATGGCTGTGTTAGTCGACTTGATTGGCCAACGGTCCAGTCGTTCTTGTATCAAAATTTGAACGGTTATGCTCGGGCTCCTGTTATCGAAAAGAGGGGAAGGCATGAAGGCTTTAGTGCCTATGAGCAAGACCTAGATTATGTGTTTATTTTCAATTGTTTTATTCCACCGTTCGCATTACAATGGCAGATTTCCGTTTGCTTTTTGATTGTATCTGTATATTGATGTCGTAACTCCCGTCATCATTGGAGATGTCATCCGTGGTCAGGGTTTCTATTTCCCTGTTATTGTACGGGCTAAGCTCCCCATAAACGTTGTGGATTAAGGTGTCAAGCATCTACAATTCATATACAGTGAAGAAAAAAATCTCAATTTCTCAGTGACATCTTTAATCATCTAGCAGTCTCCGACAAGGTTGTTGGTTTGAATGATTTCCAATTAACCCAGAATGAGCGGTCAAAAACGCTCAAAGATATGGCGTTCAAATTTCCACACAGTGAGCAATGCATATACGTGTTACATTAATGTACAGCTGAACATAACGTTTCAAGAAAAAAGTTCCGTCATCATGGCCGTATCGTGCAATCATGACTTCTCTATCGTAAATTGCAAGGACACTTCCCATCTCTGACCTCCAGACCCATACCCACCGCCTAATCGGTTTCTGATTAAGCTGGAGATCCGCTCTCGAAGTCGAATGAGATTTTCTTCTGAGCCTGAGACACGCAGCTTTAAATTTGCCATGCATAGTCCGTAATGGACTTGCCAGAACCTGGCGTCATCGACGCCAAACACGCACGGGTCGGCTTCAATATCCCGAATGACGTCCTTTACTCCCGGGCCAGAATATGACATGAGAAGCATAGAACCAAGTGTCTTGACCAAGCGCACGCCGATGACGCACATAGAGATAGATATCGTGCTGGACAAGAGAACGTCAAGCCAGTTGTAGAGACGCACAGATACCAGGGGGAGTAGCAGGAGAAGTGTGGAGCAAGAAAGCGTAAGGAAGTGAGACGGGTTGCTGAGCACTGAAGGCAACGATTCAATGTATCCGAATCGCATCGCCTTACCAATCCGTCCATGGTTCTTCAGCCCAATTGCAGAGATCAGCGTAGATGAGATTGCCAACAGAGCAGTGACATCTACACTGCCTACAGACACGCGCTCATGAGCATGAGAGTGGTGGGGCTCGTGGCCAGATGATTCGAGAAAATGCTGCAAGTTATGGGAGATAAGATCCATTCCCATAAAAAGCAGAAGCACGCACATTGCGAAACCAGCGAGCACTTCTGCCCGTTCTAGCCCAAATGGATGCCGAACGCTGGATCGCTTCCATACTTCGAAATTGCTCAATACATCCACTGAAACACACAGCAACGCTCCAAGAGAGTCAAACAGTATGAGATGGGACAAAGCCGTCATAGCCAGGGACCCGTGCGCACTCCAGAGAGTATATGCAGCGACAAACATATGGCACACACTCCACCAAAACCGTGTTTTCTGATCTTTCGACATACTCGCGCGACACTCCTTGAAAGTCGGTATCGGCAATGAATTGGGCAGAGCCAATGGGGCCCTAGGTGGTGGCTCGAGGAATATCTGGTGTGATATACTACTATGCTTATACTTATGTCCACGTCGCTGGCCAATGTTCTATATGCGATTGAACAATAATCAGCATCAATTCCAATGCAATTTCAGCCGGAAAGAACAAAGTGACTTACAGACTTTACCACCGGGCTCTTGGCCATGGTGGTGGTCTTAAAATTAAATGGTCCAGCTGAGCCATTGTCACCCTGGCTGTTCTGGGGTACATTATCGGAAGGGCTGAGAGTGAAGGACGCTCGTGTAGGACTCAGGCGATTGGGGTCTGCAGTATTTAAGGAGCCCCTTTGCGGGGGGAAACTGTCTACCAATGGTGACAAGGAATCGTTGTCCTGCGCATCAAGGCGGGAGGCGCTTGGAGGATCATCGGGGGGTGGAGTAGGGGTGCGCGGAGGAAGAGGGATGGGGAGGTTTGATGCCATTTGCACCCGACAAACCAATGGCGCCTGCGCCGAACCAAGGATATGTTCAATTGAGGAATGTTACAGTGGATGGAGAAAGAATAGTGCAAGCCGCGGCGCAGAGCAAGAGATAGGGAAGGGTCACGCGCTGATTGATCTTCCCGAGTTATCGATAAATCAGGAGGCGGAAAGGCGGGGAGGTTAGTGCCGGAGAAGCCTGAGGCCTCGACCCAACTCATCGCATCATCGACTCACAGTTTGTCCGTGTCGTCATTCATGATAGCCTTGTTTACGCCCTCAACCCTGGTCGCGTCTCCTTCCACAACATCATATTTAATCTCCATTACTGCGCCACTTCCAGGGCTGGCAATGCAGCACAAAGTACGCCGTTCCATTTGAGGAGACTCCAACTCCGATGCCCGCATTTCCTCGGCATCTATGGATCACCGCGGTTCCTTCTTTTTCTTCCTGGTCGTTTTCTACCTGCTCCTCAGCTCCCAGTCTCATCCCCCTTTGATTTCTCAGGATCGAGAACGTCAGCGGGAGATCGCGAGGGAAAAGGATGCGCTTCATCTGCTGAATGAGTCCAAGTATGGGGACTTCAACCCACCGGCTGATCGATGGTTGCCTTTTCCGGGAGTGAGGAAAAACGACAGTTACGCTTGGGAGATTCTTTCGGAAGTCCAGGATAGGGCGCGCTATCAGCTACGGTCGGTTATTTCAAATGCTGGGTTAGAGGTTCCCAAGGGTCTTGACAACCCGGATGAATCGCAGGCGCTCAACCTGACGGAGTTGCTTCTCCCCGTCTACCGTAATGCGACTGGTAAACTGCGCGGAGATTGGGTGCGGCGCAAGCTCGAAAGAGCTCATCGCCCATTGAATACAACTGCTATCGTACTGGAAAATGAATATTTCACGCACGAGTTTAGCCATAATGTCACTGGCAATACAGGATCCTTCTATCTAGACTTACGTGAGGGAGGTGGCGAAGAGCTTCGGCTGCGCAATGGCCACGTTCGTGAAATTCGAGCGACTTTAGCTGTGGAAAATGGTGACTTCTGGGGAAATACATGGTACCTCCCTTTATTCGGTATCCATTTTCCTGAAACGGGGGGCATTATCCTGACAACAACGAGCGAGAAATTTGGTGGCATTTTTACCTTGCCGCATTTGGCACTTACATCAGATGCATACGACCTTTCGCACCAGCTTCTCATGAAGTCTCTCTCTGATACAATATCTGAGAAGCAAAATCGGGCTCCTACACTTTTCCCCTGGTCCTCGCTCGTTGGGGCGGAGCAGGTGGAGTTCCCTGCGCCAAAGTGTGAGCACATAGTCTACCTACAACAGCATCCGATTGCCGTCCATGACTACCTTGCGGACAGGCAAGTCATAGAACAGATTGAGCAGGAGCTCAGATACCCTATGGGCGCACCAATTCCCTCTCCTCCACTTATGGTCATGTCAGCTGTTGTATTTTCTCCCGATTGCGGGTACGTCCTTGAGACTAAGGGCGCGCCTGATTACCCACCCACCGAAGGACTGTATCTATCCGGGCCAAAGCTGGAGGAGTTCGGGAAATACTCAGCTCGACTAATATTCGTAATATGCGGTTTCTCCGTTGCACAAATTGCCCTGCTTTTGCGACAAGTCAAGGAGGCTTCCACGCCTTCCACCAGGAGCCGTATCAGTTTCTATACGATTGCATTGATGGCCTTTGGAGACTCATTTTTGCTCGTGTTCGTGTTACTGGAACTATATCCAGCAGTCTCATTCTTACTCTTGACCACCGCATCATTCCTCACTTTCCTTTCTGTCAGCTACATCGGAATGAAATTCATGATGGAGATATGGGCGGTCCAGGCACCGGAACGACGGGAACAGGACCGCCGATCCAACCCTTCAGCAACAGCCGCACGCCCGGCCAATTTACCATTGCCAGCCACCACACGACTTAGAGACACCGGTGCAACACCTATCATCCTAACCCCAGACCAGGACCCTCCGGAGGACGATGACGAGCCGCCTCCGAATCGTAGCACCACACCAACAGCCCGGGAGACACGCAGTGATGTAGGAGCCATGTATGCACGGTTTTATTTTATCCTATTCGTCATGCTCATCATTTCCATTTGGTCTTTCCTATGGCCCAATCGACTGGGAGCGCTCTATGCCCGAGCTCTCGGGTTCGTATACCTTTCTTTCTGGACCCCTCAGATTTATCGGAATGCTATGCGCAACTGCCGCAAGGCTCTGCGCTGGGATTTTGTGGTTGGTCAAAGCTTCCTGCGTTTGTTCCCTTTCATGTATTTCTTGACTGTATCCGGAAACGTACTCTTTATTCGACCCGACACGACCACAGCTCTGGCCATGGCCGGGTGGGTGTGGATACAGGTCTGGATCTTGGCAAGCCAGGACATTCTAGGTCCGCGCTTCTTCGTACCTCGAGGCTGGGCACCGCCAGCCTATGATTACCACCCTATTGTACGAGATGCTGCCGCGCCAGATGCTGACCTGGAGTCCGGCGGAGTTTTACCAATTGGAGCATTGAGGGCAGACGAAAGGGATTTTGATACCAAGGAGGATGATAAACAGTGTCCGAAGGATAAGAAAAAGGCGATATTCGACTGTGCGATATGCATGCAGGAAATTGAGGTGCCCGTTCTCGCAGCGCCCGGTGCTCCTGGAGGCAGCAGCATGACAGATGGAGCCACAAGTATCCTTAGCCGTCGGGCGTATATGGTCACTCCTTGTCGACATATCTTTCACAGCACATGCTTGGAGAGCTGGATGCGACTCCGACTTCAGTGCCCTATTTGCCGAGAATCTATCCCTCCTGTATAGCGTATGTGATGATGGACATACCCAGCGAAAGTGTACACAAAGCCAGGCTGTAATCATATTATATATTTCTGTCACGTCGTCACCGAAATGTAGGGTGGGTGCTACTACTCGTACACAGGAGAATAGTCGTATGCGGCCCTGGGGCCTACATACCCGGCGTCGAGCACAGCCATTCTCCCACTAAGAAGTGCTTCTTTAGTACTGGGAGGAGCAATGGCAGCAGCCATGTACCTCAGCAGGCTATGACCCTGAGCCGTAGTCATTAGATCCAAGCTAATTTTTACCGAATTATCGGTAAGCTTCCAGGAAGGATTTTGGTAACATGTGTATTATTTCCAACGAGTCTGTCGTGTTGAATAACAGGCCCAGCCGTCGACGGCTTATACACGAGTCTAACGTTTCATCAAAAGAGGCAATAGATTGGCTCCCCCTGGTAAAACAGAACAATTCGACACAAAAAAGAAGAAAAAAACCATGATCACCGAGCGCTTCATTTTGACATACCATCGCATATATGCATTCTCCTTATCCAACATGTCCCCTTACTCCTTAGCATAGTTTTCCTTGTAGGTCTCAGCATCAAGCAGGCTGTCAAGCTCTGCGGCGTCCGTGACCTCGATCTCAGCAATCCAGGCATCACCCTCGGGGCTCTCGTTGATGAACTTGGCCTTGTCCTCCAGGATTGCGTTACCCTGGATCACCTTGCCGGACACAGGAGAGTTAACGTCCGAGGCCGACTTGACAGACTCCACAGCTCCAACGGGTTCTCCGGCCTGGACCTCCAGGTCTTCCGCCGGAAGCTCAACGAACACAACGTCTCCCAAGGAATGGGCGGCGTACTCTGTGATTCCGATCTTGGCTATTCATTCATTGTAAGTATAACATGCGCCTTGAGGCTGAACTGCGCCAGGTGTCGCCGGTTATGAACTCACCAGTCTTGCCGTCAGCGGCCAACTCAATCCATTCGTGAGACTCGGTGTACTTCTTCAGTTCCACTACAACAATTCATAAAATATTAGTATTTGTAACTAATGTACGATGCCTCACTGCCCTTCTAAGGGAAATTGGGAAGGGTCCTTACTGAATGGGCTTTGGGAGAAGCTCCTAACACTTCCCCGCGGGAAACCAGCTGCGGGCGAAACTCTGCAGGCGGCGGCCAGAGGGAGCTTCTGGGAAAGCACGCGAGAGGCGAAGGGGCGGACGGATCTGGCGACGGCAGACATTTTGAAGTGTTTCGGGTGAAAGGAATAGGAATTGAGTCGAGTGAAGGTGTGAGAAGGCAAGAAAGTCGTGATAAAGAAGAGGGAAAGTTGGAGTCCGCGGAGAGATTGCGCAGGTTAAGTAGTAGCTTACACAGTTCCCGGACTGATAAGCGCGCCAAGACTGCTGATAAGCGCCTCTACAATCCGTTGGCCGCAAGTCGGGAAAATCTCATCGTCCCCATCCCGTTATTCTTCTCCGACGCTATCTACCCCCACACCGATTGCGGCCATGTTGTACGAGCTGATTGCCGTTGTATGATGCCCTTTGGATTCCCTCAGACGATTGCCCGTGTTATTCAAGCTAATTGAACCCTTTGACAGGTCCGTCCGGGCAGTCTCCACGAGGTCCGAGAGTATGTCCTTCCGCGATTCCTTGTCCATTCGAGACGCCATCCTTCTCACGCAGGACCTGATGGAATCATCCTTGAGGAAATTACTTAGATGAGGAGGATAACTGACTCATTTTCAGAATCGCCCGTAATGCCGGCATTCAGGTCCTGCGCTCCGGCGGCGTAGTCCGCGGATACACCAACTGGGGCACCTTCCGACTCCCCAAGCCCACCACAAAGCACCAGGCCAGATACACGGAAGGTCACCACTTTATCATGCGCTTCGATGCCTCCGGCCCCGTACAGATGGCTGTCCGCAGAACCCTCGGTCTCGATCCCCGGATGGTTCGCTTTTCGGTGGTCAAGCTGGGCGACAAGCTTGAAGACATCAAAGATGTCCAGGGCAAGGTTGAGTGGAACAACGCACGCAACATTTCCGAGTCTATCTAAAAGATGTCGCTTCTTTGATTATGGATTGGATGGATGAATTGAAGAAGAGCCGTTGTACAGCTCATCTAGGTTGTTGATTTACATTCGGACATTGCTGGTTCACTGTATTATTGGGATTGAGGGTTGTATTTTTGTACTATCATACCAGCATCGCAGGCGCACATATATATATCACTTAATTGGGTTTCACTTTGAGGTGCCATTCTACACCTGTCCAGATTCTCCATGGGCTGCTCAACATGACACGTGACTTAGATCAAACAGCAGCGCTATCATAGCCCAGTTTGAAAGGACTTCACTTTCGCTTATTAGACTTCATGCTAGTTTATTACCACTAGATGATCATCGCATCCGGTCATTTGGTTGGCAACATGTGCTTTGCGGAAGTGGTTTCCGATTCCTTTTGTGTCGAATCACTCTCTGATGTAAATATGTCGAGTTACACTTGGAAATTTGCGTTTTATTCTCAGTGTAGCTACTTGATAAGTTTTGATCCCCCACAGAGTTGGCAAAAGCCATATATATGTTGAGATTCACAATGAAGGCAGTCGAAACCTCCACCCGATCAGCCGAGGTTCGCCATAGTCGCATCGGGTAGTAAGGCGGTCATGCGTTGCGCCAATCTGTAGACTTGCATATACTAGTAGTAACACATCTCCTATTCCACTCTCCTGCTTATAGATATACGGAGGAACAGTCCCTCGAGGTCATCGCTTTAATTCCCCACACCTCAATTCCTACCAGGTTGCCACCATGCTACCCGATAGAAGCGACGGCGATCCCCAGCTGGTGGCCTCCCCGCCAGCATTCGCCGAGCTGATGGCTCTAAAACAACTCGATAGCCCCAGCCACCTGCACGGCATCCCATCTGATGAGCCTGAAAAGATTGAGCGCTTCCAATCACTCGCGTCCCCCTATCCACCGGGTGAGGGCAAAATGGCCTTCGGTGGACACGTCTATGCGCAGTCCGCATACGCAGCGTCAAAGACAGTAGAGAAAGGCTTCGTAATCCACGTAGGGCCCCTAGCTACTCCTGCATTTTCTCGAAGCAAACCACGCTGATATTAATCAGGATATGACTGGCACGTTCATCTTGGCGGGCCGGTTAGATGTTCCGTATGTGTACACAGTGCGCCATGTGAGAGATGGCAAGATGTACTGTACCCGTGCAGTAGATGCACGGCAAGAAGGCAAAGTGTGCTTCTCGTGTTTATGCTCGTTTAAACGGGATGAGGGGCCGGAGACGTTTGCGCATCAGCCTCCTTCTGCACAGAAGCGTTTCAAATTCATTCTTCAAGCGAAACCCGTGGAAGAGCAAATTGTCAGTCCTAGTGTGGATGCCGACTGGTGGATCGAAGTGGTGGAACAGGGGGGTGTCGCGGAGCGGGAGTTCCCCGGGTTAGATATGCGCAAGACCGATATGCAGGGGTACAACCTTACCGAGGATGTAAAGCAGAATCCTGAGAAGTATCGCCAGCTTCATCAGTATTCACTGAAAGGATCGCCTCAAGGTTCTACAGTCTCGGTCAGCAGGGAAGAACTGAAAGTTAAAGAGCAGTCAGGGGAATATGATAACCTATACGCATGTGCACATATGTATGCGAGCGACAGAAACTCTTTGCTGTTGATACCGCGCGCTCTGGGCCACAAGAACTGGACCGCAATGGCTAGCTTGACCCTCACGGTCATTTTTCATCAGCGGGGTGATGCTCTCAGGATGATTGATTGGGATGCAGTGTCGAGCCACGATGGTACGGATCTGCCGAAAAAGTGGTTCGTGCAAGAGGGGTGGACACCTCGCTCTGGTGAGAACCGGGCGATTCATGAGAGCTGGCTCTGGAGCCCGGATGGGAAACTGGTGGCTACTAGTTATCAAGATAGCCTGTTGAGACTCAGAAAATACGACCGAGAAGGGAAGCTATGATACGACCTGTATATAATATAGAGTATCCAACTGCAGAGACTTATTACACTGTATATATATATGCAGCACGATCTTTCTATGAAAGTGTTTCGTGATAGTATTTGCATTATACTAGTTCTCTTTGGTCTTGGCTGCCCCAACATGGATAAATGAAAGCCCAGTATACATTCGAAAGACGCAACTCAAGCAGTAGCGTTCTCATCAGTCAACTATCGTCATGACTACCATACAACTTATCACACTCATTCAACCTAAAACGTTCAAGCAGACTCCAAGAACGCTTAAAGCTTCGATCTACCTTCGAACCCGCCAACAAAGTCAGCTTTCGTCATCTCCGGAGCCCGTGCGAGCAAAGGTCCAATGGCCTTAGAGAACTTCTTGAACTCAGGGGACGTCCCATGGGCCTTCAGGTTCTCCAGATCGGTATACCTGAAACAAGCTAGTTAGTGAACTTGTTCATTCAGGACCCGATCTACATAAAGCTTACTTCTCAATAAACACTAACTCCTCGCTCTTGTCCGGTCGAAGAGCACAGTAGATTTGCGTCTTTGGCTCGTTTGCCTGGACATGCTCCGAGAATAATTTGAAAGCTTCCAGAAGCTTGGGTATATGTTAGTATAGTTTTTATTAGAGTGCAAAGAAGCTATTCGTACCTCGTTGAATTTGCCCGGTTTGGGCACGAGCTTCACGATGTTATAAAATTCGCCGGTGGCCATGGTTGTGACTGTGGAGGCGATTGATAATATTACTCGTATTGGTTTGCCTTGGTATTATCTCAAGTTCGAATATATCAGATTGTACCATGTCACTTGTAGTGGAGATAGTATGCCTTTAAAGGAGCCGGTCTCGGCTATGTGATCATAAATCATTGATGTGGGGACGGGAGATGCCGAGGATATAGTATACTGTACATTGCCTTTGGCCTGGAGTATCACATCATATTGTAGGCCATGACAGGTTTATTCTTCTGCTTAGGATGATAAATTGAAAGAGGGGTCATTCATATGGACCATGAAGTATGCATGGTTTCCTCCTATATATTGTCAGAACGTATGAGCACACATCGTTCATCATCTGCTTGGCGAGCCTCAATATATTTCAAGCCAGTTGTATATCCCTTCCATTTGCCACGAAGACACAAGTACTTCCTGTCTCATGCATTAAGCATATTCATCGACTGGGCTTAGTAAAGAGCATCAAAAGTGACACCAATTGTAAAAATCTCCACATCGACTTGATCACACTGCTGAGTTACTGGTCACAGAGTGCTCAACTTTTACGAGCAATCCCCAGATACAATGCATTGATGTACATCTAAGATGTTTTAGTATCTATCTTCTAACATCTTTATGATGTCAATCTTCCATCCCGTCTCAATAACCAGCCTAACTCCAAACAGAATAAAGCAAAGAAAGGCTTATAAACCAAGACTAGATGTATAAGGTCTTCTCAAGAGCGGAGGCCAAGGTCTTTGTCTTCTCTACATCTAACAATTGGACAATAGGTGTAAACAGATCATCCTCTGTTAGCCGTAGGTGTAATGCAATTCCCTGAGGTAGTCCTTTATCTGATATCAGCAGCAGTTGACCTTTATTCTTACGCCAGTGGACGATGGCTTGTCCTCATTATAAAGGCCAATCACGTGAAGATGACGTAAGAGTATCTCGATTTAGGTTGGTTTTCATTGAGAGAGTCTGGACTCTCGGATGCACCTTCTGTCTTTATCCCCAACTTCCAATTTACTTACTGAAGATGTACCTTTTGGATTATTTCTGAACCACTAAAATGAAAAAGACATTGCTCCTTGTATTTATCCACGGCTTCAAGGTACGGTTCCCCACTACATACTCTTGATTTATTGGATTGTTTTACCCCGCACGTTTCAACATTGTCATACCAGTGAATCCATGACGCTGATAGATCTGTCATAGGGAGATGACGATACCTTCGGAAATTTTCCGGAGCACGTACGTGCACTCGTCGGTCGTGCTCTTCCTGCTATAACCGTCGCTACAGTTGTGTATCCTAAGTACCAAACCAGAGGAGATCTGAAAGAATGCGTGAGCCACTTTCGAGAATGGTATGTCGCGCTATCCAATGTGATGTCTCAAATCACTGATAGTGTCTCTTAACTCAGGTTACAAAACCAAGTCATAGACCTGGAAGTCGCCAACCGAACTGCCTCACCTACCGTTGATCCTTCAGTCCATGTCTTCCTAGTTGGGCACTCGATGGGGGGTATTGTCGCTGGAGAAACGCTTCTTCTACTGGCTTCAGAGCAGCCAATTCCTGCCAAAACCTCTTGCGCAGACTCGGAAACGGCCGCCAATTCGCAAATCCTCGAGTCTGGCTCGTTCATGTTTCCTCATATCCAAGGAGTGCTTGCATTTGATACGCCGTTTTTGGGTATTGCCCCGGGAGTTGTCTCGTACGGTGCAGAAGGACAGTATAAGAATGCCACGACTGCGTACAACGCGATCACGGAAGTAGCAGGTCTGTTCGGTTTTGGGGACAGCAGCGGCTCATCTACCAAGGCAGCAAGCGCCAACCAGGGGGCCACAAGTAACAAATCTTTACCTCCACAGCAGGCTAGTGCTGGCAGTCCATCTTCAGATGCTGCGGCGACACCATCCTGGCAGCGGTGGGGTCGATATGCTATGTTTGCAGGGGCTGCAGGGGCCGTGGCTGCGGGAGGAGCGGCTGCAATGTATTCTCAACGCCAACGCTTGACCGACGGATGGGGTTGGGTCTCATCCCATCTTGCATTTGTTGGGTGCTTGGCTCGCCCCTCCGATCTTCGCCACCGCATATCACTCTTGTCCGAGGTACAGAGGGAACGCGGAATCGGCTGCACTAATTTCTTTACAGCCTTGGGCAAGAATGCAACGTCGCTGGTAGAGACCTCGAGCCAAGGCAAGACATCATTGAGTCAAAGAATTATCCGCTCGAAATACCGCACGTTCTGCACCCTCCCTCCTGAAGTGGAAAACGAAAATGCTGCGTACGACCCGAAAGCAGGACTCGCATGGGTCAAAGCTGTGAATGATAAGGCAGCAGACGAAATTAAGGCGCATGTTAGCATGTTCTTACCAAAAGAAAACCCTGCTTTTTATGAATTGGTCAATGAAGCGTGCAAGATCGTGGTGGAGTCGATCGACCGGGGATGGTATTCGACCGCGACGGGGCCTGTAGAGGAAATTGACGGCGACCTACCGCGGACCGAGAGCGCCAGGACCCCTGCCGACCATGATAGTGGCTTCATGGATGGTGAAGATGTCGTAATTGTGGAATAAAGGCTACGATTGGTGGTCGAGTCTTTCCAATTTCGAGCGTAACTCGTTTACGCGCCCTATTCTCGGGAACGCAGGACAACCGTTTAGACCACCTGCACGGCCTCTGCAGGATTAAATTTGAGCTAATTATGCTAGTCGGCGCAGCCGACGCATGATATCGCTTATGACGGTTCCATCTTTTCCGGTGTTACACCCCCTATTCCGTACCGATCGCAACCTTGGTGGTCTAGGGGTCAAAGAATGGTGCGATAAATAGTTGTTACAATGACAAGGTGGGGTTGAAATCATGTTGTTAATTTAGCCACGGACTGTCTCCGAAATCGCCATGGGCTTTCCACTCAAACCATCACGGGATCGAACTGTGGGGATCGAGGAACGGTCATAGATCCCCTACTCCACCGGTCCTTGTCTGGCAGCTACGGAACTATTTCCCTAGGCACATTAGCGACACCACAATGGTCCCTCCATCCCTCATTGCCGGTCAAGTGTCACGGCTAGTTTCAGCCGGTGACATTTGTCCTTCTTCTTACACTGCAGGGTTGGCAGTCTCGTACAAATGGCGATACATGTCATGTGAAATGCCAAAACTTCAATGATGGAATCGTTCAAAGCCAACAGGAGGTTCGAAGAACAACTTGAATCACTTTAATTGTGTGACTATTCTAGATACAAAACTGAGTTGGCTTATCCACTGTACACATCACACAGAAGTGGTCGGGAGTATCAAAGAAAACGGTGTATGAATCAACGCTACCGTCGCATGGAATATTGAAAGAAAAGTAACAGTCGAATTTCCACACATGACTGGCAAAACATTACA